AGCCCGAGCACGGACGCCGGTGAGTGCCGGGCGGTCCCCGGACCCGCCTCCTAACTTCTCCTGGCCGGCGCCTGAGGCCCGAGCCCGAGCGGTACTGCCTGAGCATCTCCCACCGTGGGATGAGGGCCAGCAGCTCTTCGTGGGCTTGTGAGCCTGGAAAGCACCTTGCGGTCTGGAGGGAAAGAGAAAACGTTTCCATCCCTGTGTGCTCAGGGACGCGGGTAGAGGGGCTGATGGGTGACTCGGCAAACCCCACCAGGAAGCCACTCAGTGCCAAATCTGAGCTGGATACTGGGGAACCTGCCTGGTATGAGGAAGCTGTCCACCGCTAATACCTGCCCACACCTGGGGACACCTGGGCCCTTGGGCTCATCTCTGGTGACTTAGACTCCCCTGCTGGTATAGGAAGAGGGTCCCCAGACTGTGGAGAAGGGCCCTTGTTGCCTTTTTGGGTCCTTGTTCAGTTTGACAGTTCTGCCCAGAGGCCTGGGCCCACTGACCCACTGTGAGGCCAGGGCAGGCAGAAGCTGCTAGAGGTGGTCCAGGAAGACCTGACCGGGTTGCCAGGAAGGACAAAGGGGTGGGTGGTCTCCAGGCCTGGAGCCATGGAGCCTCTGATACCTGGGAGGGACCGACCACAGTCCCTGGGGATGGCCTGGCTTCCGGTCCAGTTGGCAGGGACAGGAGATCGCTGAATGGTCCTGTTTGTCCCCTAGAGACTGCCTTGGGAACAAGACCTGCATTATGGCCGGGGGCGGGGGCTGGGCCCCTCAGCCCATTCAGCCTGTGCGCGTGCCCGCCAGGTGCAGGCCTTCCCCCGGGGCAGCTGCCAGCCCTTGTTGTGTTGCCCACGGCTCTGCCAGCCTCGCTGGACACCCTGCCCAGCCTTGGACATATTCCCCAGCCCCATGACTGCCAGTTGGAGCTTCAGCAGCCCCCAGCCTCCCTGGTGAACTTATCGAGCCGCTCACCACAGGCTGGAGCTCCTCCATCCTGGCTCCTCATTGCCCAACTTCCGTGTCCCCATGGTGTATGTATGTGTTGGGCAGGATTCTGGGTGTGGCTGGCCCTGAGTGCAGGGTGCCATCCACGTGACTGCACACAGTTGGAAATCAGCCACAGGACTGAGGCTTGGAGGCCCCTGGCCTGTGGTCCAGCCTTGCTCTGCCCTGGTGCCCTGTGTGGCACTAGGTTAGTTACTGCAGCCCTCTAAGGTCCAGTACAGGGTGAGGAATGTGGCCAGTGCCCACCACGGGGCAGTGTTCATGCCAGTCCCTCTGGAGGGTCAGGCCAGGGCTCTTGCTGTCACCTTCCAGAGGCAGAGGCACAGACAAGGGGCATGACATACTCTTCGGGCGCCAAGCCTGGAGCTCAGAGAGCCAGCCCCCCACAGCCTCTCAGGCCCTCCTTCCTTGTGCACCCCAGGCTGGCCTGAGCCCTGTAGGCATAGGCTGCTTGATCAGACCCAGACAGGGGCAGGGCTGCCTCTGCTTGCTGGTTATCTAGCTGGGCGTCCAGCATGCTATCATCTAGGACCTCTGGAGTTGCCCTCCAGATGATAGTGCAACTAGCCGAGCTGTTCTGGGGTGTCCTCTCCCCACTCCCTCTGCTGTGCCTTCTCTGCTTGCCCCGCAAGCGCAGGAGGTTGGAAGGTAAACTCTGAGCCTGCCTGGAGCCCTCTGGACGTGTCCCTGGGGGGCATGCCTGTACCTCTTCTTGCATCCTCTACTGCCGTGGCCAGGCGGGGTGCAGAGCTCGGGAACCAGGGGAGGGCGCCCTCCTCCACACCTGCACCCCACTCCTCCCCGCCTGGGAAGCCCTGCACGTACTCCTCCACCCCCAAGGAAGCTGTCTGGCCCTCCAGGCCCGCACTGAGAAGCACCTGGCTTTCTGGCCCCCAGCCAGCTCTGCAAGTAGGTGTGTACACTGCAGTAGCTCCTCAGCTACCTGCTGACCGGGCTGCTGCTGCCCACATCCAGGGACTCACTTAACAGCATGCTCACCTCCCTGGGAAAAATCAGGCCCCTGCCACCCACGCCTCACCTTTTTCCTGCACAACCTGTGGTCATCCTTAAAGCGCCAGAGCAGATAGGAGACAGGAGCGGAGACCAGAGGCCGCTCCATCCCCAACTCTGTTCCGGCAGCCTCGAGCCCTGAGGTGTACCTGACGGATCCGGGGCCCTGGGGGTGCAGGCACAAGCCAGATGAAGCCCCTGCCCTCAGGGAGCTCACATCTGAGGCACATGTGGTATGTGTGCAAACGTGCCACCTGGCCCTCCCCAAGGCAGGTGCAAGGGGAGCTTGTGGGGATCAAGGGAGGACCAGACCCAAGCCAGGCACAGGCAAAGGGGGTCGGGGCTAGGCCGGTGCCCCAAGACCCTGGGTCCAACTGAGATGGGGAGGGGCCCAGCAGAAGCCTTGACTTGCTGATGATCCCAGTGGCCTGCAGGCCTGGACACCTGGCTCTGCATTGCCAGGGCGGCTGGGGGTGGGTCTAGGATGGACCTGGAAGTCAGGCTTTGCGGGGTGAGGGAAGTTGAGCTCGACTAAGCAGGCCTGGAGGCGAGCTAGGCCTTCACCTCTCTGCTGCAGGTGCAGTGGTCTGCAGGGCCAGGGAGCTAGGTACGGGGGATGCCCGGTGGGCCCCCCGTGCCCGAGGGGAACGTCGGAGGCACACCATCACCAATGGTGTGGACTGTGACCTGGTGAGTAGGAGCCCGGGGGGGTCTGGGGGGACTCTCCATCTTGCCTGGGGTTGGACTTGGCCCCCACCGTTGGTCTCCTGTAGCACACCTCTGCCTGGGAAGGGGCAGCTAGGTTCTGGGGGAGCCTGTGGTGGGAACGTCAGTCAGTTCCAAGCTTCTCTCCCCTCCTAGTTGGAATTCACTTGAGGGACGGCCCAGGGTCAGGTCAAGAAGTCCTTCAGGGAGAAGGCTGGGTCCCCTCCCCAGCACTGTCTGCTTCCCTGCCAAGTTAGGCCAGCTCCAGCTGAATGCTGTCCACTGGCCGTAAAGAGAGGAAGGGTCCCCTGGGGAAGCCGGCATGGAGGGGCTGAGGAAGGCCCAGAACCCCGGGAGGAAGAGTGGGGCGATGCTGCTCAATGCAGAGGCACGAGGGCTCACCCGTGTCCAGGTGTCTGCACCCAGGTTGGTGGACCTGCACCTGCGTGGACTGGCTCCTTGCGAACACAAGGGCAGAGGCGGGCTCGCCCACGGGTGTGTTCATGGGTATGTGGGCATCCCTGTGTGTGGCAGCTGAAGCAGATGAAGGAGCTGGAGCAGGAACAGGAGGTGCTGCTGCAGGGTCTGGAGATGATGGCGCGGGGCCGCGAGTGGTACCAGCAGCAGCTGCAGCGTGTGCAGGAACGCCAGCGTCGCCTGGGCCAAAGCAGGGCCAGCGCTGTGAGTGATGCTGCCCAGGACTAGGCTGCCCCCATCCCCAGGCGGGTGACCCCCCCTAACACACACAGCGATCACCCACCTAAACCCAGGCACCTGGGGTGGGGCGTAAGGCTGCCCTACTCCAGAGCACAGGGGCTGTCCTTCTTCCCAGGATACGGGGACCCTCCCCCCGTGATACTCCCCTCCTGCAACATGCCTGGGCTCCTTCGGCTCTGAGCACTGACTTCACCTGTGGGGACCCCCCCACCCCGAGGCACTGGGCTGATGCTGGGCTGGGCCTGTCCTCTGACCACTCTGCCCCTGCTTTCCTCTCAGGACTTTGGGGCTGAGGGGAGTCCCCGCCTGCTGGGGCAGCTGCTGCCCAAGGTCCAGGAGGTGGCCCGGTGCCTGGGGGATCTGCTGGCTACGGCCTGTGCTGGCAGGGTGAGTGTCCCCCAGACCAGCTGGCACCAGCTCTGTGCCACCCCTCCTCCTCGTCCTAGAGGCTGTGCCAGGGAATGCCAGGCCTGCCTGACTGTGCCCTTCTGCAGGCCCTGCCCTCATCCTCCGTCGGGGGCCCCGTGCCCCACCCTGGCCCCTGCCTCGCCCTCCGCCCTAGGCTGGCAGCAGCAGACTATTCTCATGCTGAAAGAGCAGAACAGGCTTCTCACCCAGGTGAGGTGCAGGGAGGGGCATGGGGCAGTGCCAGAGGCCCAGCAGGCCCTGACTGCCACCCCCCCCCCCGCCCAGGAGGTGACGGACAAGAGCGAACGCATCACACAGCTGGAGCAGGAGAAGTCTGCCCTTATCAAGCAGCTGTTTGAGGCTCGCGCCCTCAGCCAGCAGGATGCTGGGCCTCTGGACTCCACATTCATCTAGCCGGGCACCAGCCCAGACACGGGGCCTTGCAGCCTGGCCTGGCCCTCAGCCCCGGGCAGGCACTTCCTTGAGCCCCACCTCTCAGGCTGAAGGCACCTGGCCAGCCTGGACACCACCCTCCCTCTTCCCTTCCAATCTAGGCTGCCCCAGGGCCTTCCTCAGGCCTCCCCCAACCCCAGCGCCCAGAACTAACTCCATCCTGGTCATCGGGGGAGGGGGGCTGACCTGGGGTGGAACTCCATCGTGCCAGCACAGCCTGAAGCTGCTACTGTCACTGTCAGTGGACAGTGGCACCCCCTCATGTTTACCTGAGCTCAGGCAATCCTGGGCACCTGCCCGGGTGTTTTCAGCTGGCCTGTCTCCCTTCCCACCTGGAGTCTCCAGCACTCGTCACATTAGGCTGCACTTCCAAGAGCGGCCAGCAGAGAGCGCTACATGCACCGGTCACTGTGGCCCTAACGCCCCCACGGTGGTGTCTCAGATGGGGCCTGCAGTAGGGGGCCCAGCAGGTGATTGGCTCCGGGGGCCCAAGAGCATCTTCCTTCCCTAAAAACTAAGGGTCTGTCCCTCAGCCAGGAGCAGATGGAGGGTAGCCTCTAAGAGGGGTTCTACTTGCATCCAGTTCCAGGGGAGCCCCCAGGGGTGGTGTTCTGGATTCGTGCCTGGACCAAGTTTGGCCTGATTGCGCCTCCCCACAGACCTCGAATGCTAAACAAACTTGGGTTAGCTGTCATCCCTCCTGGCCAAGACCACTGAGCAATCTGTGACCCAGGTGCAGAGTCTTGGGCCTGCCAGGTGAGCTGGCCAGGGCAGACTATGGTCACCAAGTAGGCTCAAGTGTGCCCTTCCATGGGCCGGGCGCTGTCTCCAGAAAGTGTGTCAACCTGGGCCCCCCAGACACGCCTCAAGGGGCCTCATGGGCTGAGCAGGACCTCCCTAGTGACCAGATTCAAGGTTCCCCAAGTATGGGGACCTGCCACCCCCTCCACCCTGCCACCCCCAGCTTGGCCTTGGCTCTGGGCCCCAGGAAAGGGACCCACAGGACATAGGAAGAGGCTGGCTGCCGGTCCCATCAGGAGTCATTCCCTGTGCCCAGCGCCAGGCCTGCTCTAGGGGGGACGCCCTGCTCAGCTGGGCCTGCTAACAGCACCTCCACCGCCGCCCCCCTCAAGCCAAGGGCACAATGACATTACAGGCAGGCTGAGTGGTCGAGAGTCCTGGATATGGTGTGGGCATATTTGGGGACCTGGGGACTGAAGAGGTTGTGTGCATGGCCTCCCATGGCCCCGGAGGGCAGGCTGACCATGGAGGAGGGGTCCAGGGTGCAGGGCAGCCGCTCTGTGCCAGGCCAGCAGCAACCTGGCTGGAGCTGCTCCCCACGGCGCTCAGGGCTGGCGGGGGATGGACGCTTGTCCCCAGTCAGGCCCAGCCCTTCTCAGAGGAAAGGGGTGGGTTCTCCTGGGGACCATGCGCCCTTTGACCTAGACCTCTTGGGCAGGTTCCCTGGGATGGGAGGCAGGAAAGGGAGCTGGTCCTGAAGGACCAGACCTGGCCTCCAGCTCCCAAGCAGACTCGTGGTGCAGCGGCTAGACCGGTGCCCACTGAGGAGAGGTCTGCCCTCCATCAGGCTACCCAGCTGGGGCTTGCCCACCAGGACCTTCCTGAGGCCATCCAGTCCTGATTCTTGGATCGCTCCCTACTTCCATCCCATGGCCAGTCCCCCCACTGGCACGGGGAGTCCCTCTGCCTGCACGTGCTCCCAGCACAGCCCTTGTCAATCCCAGAACGGAAAATGGCCCCCTCCCCTGCTCCTCATCCCTCATTCACCCCCTCAGGACTCAAGGCAGACCCAGGCCCCAAGCAGGGTTCAGCCTCCACGGCCCCCACCCTGCAGCCCTGCCGGCAGCCGGGTCCTCCCACCTCTGGGCTTTGCACGGTTGTCCCTGTCCTGGAGCGCCGCTCCTGGCTATGCCTGGCTGGCTCCTGCCCAGCCCTCCAGCACAGATGCAGGGTGAACGAGCCTGCAGAGGCCAAAACAGCAAAGGCGGCAACCTTGGGCAAGTGGCCGAGGTGGCCAAGACGCAGTGTCTGCTCGGGGCGACTGTCTTCAGTAGACCTCCCACTGAAAGTGGAGCCTGCGGCCTCAGGTGGAGTAAACCTGAGACTCAGGGAGAGGCTGCTCGTGGCGTTGGCACTCTGCGCAGGGCGGGAAGTGCACCCTCTGCCTGCAGCCTGGAATCTAGGCTGCCTGTGTGGCCCCAGAGACCTCAAGGGGAGAACAGTAAGTGGTCCCAGGTTGGCAGGGGCCAGGTGGCCGACAGAAGCACAACACATCCACGCTACAGCAGTGTTTCTTAGCTGCACATGGGGGACGTTTGGGGCCGGGTGAGTTGAGGGAGTGGTCTGTGCACTGTGGGATGGTTAGCAGTGTCCCCAGCCTCTGTCCGCTAGATGCCAGCAACACACACACACACACACACACACACACACACACTCAGCTCTGATGACCAAAATGTCTCGGGGTGTTGCCAATGCCCAGACGTGGCGGTAGGGCAAAGTCAGCCTTGGCTGAGCATCTCTGCTCCAGAGCAGTGCAGCTCTGCCAGGCCTCAAGGATTTCCTGTCGACCGAGCCCCAGGAGGATGAGCATCTCCAGGTTAAAATCCTTTTCACAGACACCACAAGGAAAGGATCTACCATGAAAGCCAGCCGGAACAACAGACTCTGAAGCCATGTCGGATATTGGAATAATCAGACAGTGGATATAAAGTAATCGTTTTGTACAACTGAATAAAAGACATCCTTGAAAACATGAACAAGGACAAGCCTTTACAGTTTCTTATTCCGTTAAGAAAAAATCCGATCTTTTATTCTAGAAAAGTGATCAATTAATATGAAAAGGAATCAAATAGAATTAGAAATTTAAAAATATGTAGTTAGTAAGTGAAATTTAAAAGTAAAATGGACTTCAGGTGGGGAATTTCAGCATCGCTAATAAGAGACTTAAGGACTTGCGAGACAGCACTTCAGAAATGATCCCGAACACGGCCCAGAGGGACAGGGCGTGGGCAGGTGAGGGAGGAGGAGGGCGGGAATGACAGAGGGAAAGGGCTGTTTGGATGGATTTCCTGAAGGAGGGACAATACATGAAGTTAAACTGGCTTCAGTTTTTCCGGAATTGTCTAAAAAATAATCAATTCTCAGATCCAGGTATTCCCGTGGTTCCCAGGCAGGACGAATAAAAAGAAACACCTACTTTCTCTTACCAGACTGTTAAAGAATTGGAGACGGAAAGCCAGGTGCCTACAAGGGAGCCGCCACAGTGACATCGGAGGCCAGAGTGGGTGAAACGCCTTCAGTGGCCAAGACAGCGTCGCGACTAACCCCGAAGCCCGCGCCCAGAGACACTGTCTTTCAAGAGTGAGGGCGAAATGAAAGCAGGTTCAAACAAACTGACGTTGAGAGTTTCCAACCAAGAGAACTTGACTAAAGGCAACTCCGGAGGAAGGACTTCAGAGAGAAGGCAAAATTCTAGAAGGAATCACAGACAGGGATGAGTTAGTGACCCATTGCTGCAGAATACGTCAGCTTAAAACTTGGTGGCTTAAAGCAACACTTATTTTCTTGCCGTTTCTGTGGGAACCAGATGGGCTTGGGGTCTCGTGAGGCTGCGGTGAAGACCGTCTGCTGCGCCCACGGTCCCCTCCAAGGCTGACCAGGGCTGGAGGACGTACTTCCGAGATGGCACATCCACAGGGCTGTTGGCAGAATGTCTCAGTTTCTCGTCTCCTTGGTAAAAATAATGATAATAATGATGCTCACTGGGCCGGGCGGGATAGAACCTAAACAGTGTCGATAATGGTATACACGTGGGGAGGAGTGTGCGGCGCTGAGGCATTCTAAAGCACTTCAGCTGCTCCTCAGGAGGGAAAAGACACTTTCTGTTTCACTGTGTGTGTTAAAACAACCAGGAGAACCAGGCAAAATTACTGCTATCCAGCGCACACCTTCCAGAGAAGGGCGGGGCAGGGACACGGGGGAGAAAGGAAAAGAAGTTCAACTTAAAAAGAAAGAAAATCAGAAAACACGTAATAAAGTTGAAGAAATACATTCGTAACCACAGTATATGTGACTTGATTAAACTCTAGTGAGTCATCAGATTGGATTTTGAGAAATTCAGGTATAAGCTAGTTTTTTAATTGCTGCCTTTTTTAAATTGCATTTTTTGGGGGGGGGTAATTAGGTTTATTTATTTACTTATTTAATATTTATTTATTATTATTTTTTTAATTGAGGTACTGGGGATTGAACTCAGGACCTCATGCATGCTAGACATGTGCTCTACAGCTAAGCTATACCCTCCCTCCAGGTATCAGCTATTTTAAGAGACACATAAAATATAACAGCAGCAACAAAAAGCTAGAGAAGCTGTAATACAAAACAAAACAGATGCTAAGGGAAGAGACGTTACTAGTGACGAACGGAATAAACACCTCATCATAAAAGTTGTATTTATGAGGAAGATATAAGAACCCTAAAGTTGTAATCACCCAGTAACACGTTAAAATTCACAAGGATATGCAGACATTTCACCAAGGGAGATATACAGATGGCGTATAGCACATGCAAAAATGTTCAGTATCACTCGCCATTAGAAAAATGCAAACTAAAACTGCAGTGGGAGTAGCTATACCTCAATCAGAGTAGCTGAGATGAAGATCTGATCACACCGTACGCTGGTGAGAATGTGGAGAAACTGGATTTCTCACACATTATTGGGGGAATGTCCAATGATACAACCCCTCTGTAAAATAATTTGGTAATTCCTTTTTTTTTAATTGAAGTACAGTCAGTTACAATGTGTCAATTTCTGGTGTGCAGCACAATGTTCCAGTCGTGTATATTTTCAAATTCTTTTTCATTAAAGGTTGTTACAAGATATTGAATAGTGTTCCCTGTGCTGTACAGAAGAAATCTGTTTTCTATCTATTTTTATATATAGTAGTTAGTATTTGCAAATCTCGAACTCCCAAATTTAGCTCTTCCCACCCCCTTTCCCCCGGTAACCATAAGATTTTTTACTATGTCTGAGTCTGTTTCTGTTTTGTAGATGAGTTCATTAGTGTCCTCTTTTTCTTTTTTCTTTTTTAATTGCACATAAGAGTGATATCATATGGTGTTTTTCTTTCTCTTTCTGGCTTACTTCACTTAGAATGACAATCTCCGGGTCCATCCATGTTGCTGCCAATGGCATTATTTTACTTTTTATGGCTGATTAGTACTCCATTTTATAAATATACTACAACTTCTTTATCCAGTCATCTGTTGATAGACATTTAGGTTGCTTCCATGTCTTTGCCATTGTAAATAGTGCTGCTATGAACACTGCAGAGAATGTATCTCTTCAAATTAGAGTTCTCTACAGATATATGCCCAAGATTGCTGGATCATATGGTAAGTCCGTTTTTAGTTTTTTGAGGAGTAATTCCTTTTCAAACTAAAACTGACTTACTGTGTGTTAATTTCATGTGTCAATTTCACAGCTAGGGTATGGAGCCGGTCCTTTGGTCAAATGCTTGTCAAGATGCTGCTTTGAAAGTATGTTGTAGACATGATTAACATTTACATCAGTAGGCTTTGAGTAAAGCAGATTGCTCGTCATGGATGGGTGAGCCACGACCAATCAGGTGAAGGCCTTAAGAGAAAAGATTTCCCCCAAAAGGAAGGAAGTCTGCTTGCAAACTGCCTTTGGACTCGAGAGTGCTACACCAAGTCCTCCCTGGGTTCCACCTGCTGACCTGCTTTGCAGACTTCAGATTTGCCGGCTCCCACAGCTGCCTGAGCCAATTCCTTGAAATAAATAGACTTCACTCCCTCTCTGCCTCCCTGTCAAGTGGACAGATTCCTGTTGGCTCTCCTTCCCTCCCTCTGGAGCACCCTGACTACTGTATCATGCCTGGCAGTGATTGCAGACTTGGGCATGTATCCCAGAGAAACAAAGACTGATTTTCATGCAGGAACATGTTCATGAATGTTCATGGCAGCTTCACTGGTAGCAGCCCCAAGCTGGAAACTACTCTAACGTCCTTCCTGCTGTGGGTGATGTTTTGAAGAAACCATGGTCCACCCACACCACAGGATACAATTCAGTGACACGAAGGAAGGCCCTCTTGGAACACACGACAACGTGGATGAACCACAGGGCAGTTGTGCTGGGTGATGACAGCTGATCCCAAGAGGATACATTTTGCAGGACCCACGTATGTGCCAGCTGTGAGAGAACACGACTACAGAGACGGAAAATGCGAGTGTGGGCTGAAAGTGGTAGTGTGAGGAGTCCATGGGGGTGGGTCAATTGTTTCTTGGTTGTGGTGGAGGTTACATGAGGCTACACTTATGGTGAAACTGCAGAGCGCTACACACACACACGAGTGCACGTAATCCGGTGAAGCAGAAGTAAGCTCTTTAGACTGTACCAAGGTCAGTTTCCTGGGTTGGCTCCTGTACCACAGGTTTATACACACACACACACACACACACACACAAATATATACACATATGTAGGCAAGACTTGTCAGAACTATAAACAGAAACTGACAAACCCACCACCACAGTGAGGAATTTTAATACATCTCTCAATAGTTCACAGGCTACCGTAGATTTGAATGTTATCGATAATGTTGATCTGCTGGACAAACCCAGACCAATGCGCTGGCTAACTGGAGAACAGACACTCTTTTAAAGCACACGGGGAACATCTCTAACTCTTTATGACCACGTAACGGGCCAAAAAGCCAATCTAACAAATCTCAGAAGATTGGGCGCATGCAGACCACGTGATGTAACCACAGTGCGTGTACGTGAAAACAGCCCAGACTTCTGGGTGTTCAAACACACCCACTCTAAATGAAAACGAAAAGGGCGTGCGTGAAACGCAGAGGCCAGAGGGGGATTTCTATTCAGATGCGTTAGTGAAGATGAAAGGCTCGTAAGTGATGCCTTACTCACTGAACTGCAAAGCTGGAAAAAGAAACAGCAGAATAAACACAAATAGCATAGATACAGTAATTATAATAAATTATATTAAAATACTGTATTTCGTATATATATACCTGACATTTTTCTTTTTAATTAATCGATTAATTAATTAATGTATTAATATACCTTTATATTTATTTTTAAACTTTTACAAATTATTTTATTTCTTTTTGAGGGGGAGATAATTAGGTTTATTTGTTTGTTTTTAGAGGAGGTGATGGGGATTGAACCCAGACCCTCGTGGATGCTAAGCATGTGCTCTAGTGCCTGAGCTCACCCTCCCTCTTTAATACATTTTCATTAAAGTTCACTTGCTCTACAATGTTGTATTAGTTTCAGGTGTAGGGCAAAGTGATTCAGCTATATCTATATATATACACATACATATGTATTCTTTTTCAGATTGTTTTCCATTATAGATTATTACAAGATATTGACTATACTTCCCTGTGCTCTACAGTAAGACCTTATGTTTTTTTACCTATTCTGTATACAGTAGTTTGTATCTGCTAATTCCAAACGTCTAATGTATCCTTCTCCCCTCTTTCCCCTTTGGTAACTGTAAGTTTGTTTTCTATGTCTGTGAGTCTCTGTTTTGAAAAATAAATTCATTTGTATCATTTTTTAAGATTCCACATATAAATTACATCATATATTTGTCTTTCTTTGACCTGTTTCACTTAGTATGACAATCTCCAGGTCCAACGATGTTGCTGCAAATGGCATTATCTTATTCTTTTTATGGCTGAGTAGTATTCCATTGCATATATACGCCACA